CTTAACGGCACACAGACTCATTAAAGATAAAACCGTTCTCTCTCATTCCCCAAAATAAGGAAGAAAAAGAAATTTTCAGAGCGCAAATATCGTTCACTCAACTCGGTATTGTCAAATTCGGTGAGTCAAAATAACTCTCCATAGCTTTCTGTTGCTTGTTGTTACTCCAATTGTGTTCATGTTTGGTTAATATTATTGTTTGTATCTCACTCTCTGTAGTCTATATTATATTATATTGTCTGTTTTTGTTTGATTTTTTTTTTTCCTCTCTTTTTTAAGGGTATTAAGAATTGTTTGAATTTTCTTGGTATGCTGTGTTGGGTTTCATATAACAATGTAAAGCACCGAAATTTGGAGTTTGATTGGGTCATTTGAATGGTGGTCGATTCAAGATCCAAACTTCTGATATCTTCTGATTTCTTTGGTTCATTATTGTTCATTGTATGCTAATTGATATTGGAAACCTACCAAAATGGAAAATTTTATTTTGATTTTCTATTGAATTAGTGTTCGGTGTTCGAGCAGAGGTTCAATTGTTTGGTTTGGTTAGCTGCATCAGTGATAAATGATTTTTCAGGAAAATGACATGCCAAATGATACATTCGTGGAGGTTTAACGAGCTAGTGGGTGCTTTTCTGGATCTTGCAATAGCCTATCTTTTACTTTGTGCTGCAGCTGTTGCCTTTTTTACCTCCAAATTTGTGAGTTTGTTTGGATTGTGTCTGCCATGCCCTTGTGATGGGTTTTTTGGGACCCCCAGGAAAAGTCACTGCTTTCAAAGGCAATTCGCAGATGCCCCATGTGAGAAAATCTCTGCAGTTCAATGGGCAGTGAAGAGCAAGTTCCCTTTTGATGTACTATGGTCTGAAGACTCAAATATCAATTCTAAGTCCAAGTTCGTAAATGAGACATATTATGAGAATGGGCATTTTGAGTTTGAAGGTGAAGCGTCATGTAGCTCATTGTCAGAAAGGAGGTTGCTAGATATGGTTGGGAGTGATTCAGTTGCCGAGAATGAACAGAGTGTTGAGTTTGGTGTAGCAAACTTGGAAGCTGGGAAGGAACAACATTTTGAACTTAAGCCAAAGAAGGTTTCGGGTCGAAGGCCGAGACTTCGCCGCC